GCATGTTACACCTCATAAGATAAGGGGACAAGGGTGCAAAATTCTTGTCACAAACTTCTGGATGAATAAGTCACCTACAGAGGACTGGGTGTGTGAAAATGACAGAGGACTCTGGATTCTGATTGGTGCCTACCTCATGGCTGGGGAGAGGGTGAAAAGTTCTCTTTCTTTTCTAACCCAGAGACTAGTGACATAGTAGATGACCCCAATACAAAAGCAGCAATGGACCAGGAACAGGGCCCAGGTCTTCATGTAGATGAAGGAGGAAGATCTTGATCTGACCCTGTGCCTTACACATGAGAAGCTCTGCCTGTGACCAGCAGGTGTGCATGCTATGTGACTGACATTCCACATGACCCATGAACGAGAGCCTTCCTCTCCCTGGCCTAGTCACAGTCTAACCCTATGGCTGCTGTGAAAAGACCCAAGCACTGAGCAACGGAAGCCCTGGTCTCAGGGTGGTCCACCCAGCATGGAGAATCAGCCTTGTGCCTGGGTGCGAGGTGGTTTCTGTGAGGAAAGGTGATGGAAATACCAACTAGAAATATTTCTCTGCATGCTCTAGGGGAAGTGGGATTATGAAAGATTGAGTACATGTGGTGGGATGCAGCCCAGATGACAGGGGAAAGTGGGAGCAAATGTGTTGTTACTCGTGTTTCTTGTACTATCATGCACGTTTCTGTGAGGATGTGCCCTCCTAGCAGATGCGAGCTGGTTTCACCAGCACCTTGCAGAGCACACAGCAGACACTCAATGCAGGGTTACAATGCTACTCCATGAGATTACCCCCTGACTAGTCCAACAGAAATACAGTGAGATATGCATGCATAATTCTAAATTTTTAGTAACCTATTAAAAGAAAAAGGTGCAATTGATTACAATATTGCATTCAACTTAATATATCCAAAATGCAATCATCATTTGACATATAATTAATATTTAACATTAATGGATATTTTATAATTTTATTCATGCTACATGCTACATTTTAAATACCGGTCTGCATTTTACACTACAGTACATGTCTAGTCACACTTCAAGCACTTAGCAGTAGGACACTCACATGTCCTAGTTGGCTTCCACATTGGCCAGGACTGATCTCGATTCTTGGTTTTTCTAGATCAAGAACACAGACAATTGCCCAAAGGGTATGGGCAGTTTCTCCAGCCAATAAGAGAGTGCAGGTCATCAGGCTGCTGTGGGGAGTGATACCACCACAGAGACAGGTACAGAGAGCTCTATCCATTCAAACACTTTCCTACAACAGCTGTTTCTTAAGCACTTACTACACATTTTGTTGGGCATTTTGAAGGGCTTTACAGAGCATAGAGAAAACCTGTGTTCTCCATAAACCCTAGGCCCACCTTACTTGCCTGACTCTAGAATTTCTCATGCAGTAATATAATAAAGAATAGAGGGGAAAATGACAATGAATGGCCTCTTTTTCTATTCTCTCTCTCTCTCTCTCTCTCTTAAAGTTTTTACTTATCTATGAAGAAGAGACAGAGAGAGAGAAAAAGAATCATCTAGTAGTTCACTCCCCAAGTGCCTGCAACAGCAGACCTAGTGCTGGGCCAAACCAAAGCAAGTTATCTTTAATTTAATCCAGGGCAAGGGCCATGTGAGTGGCAGAGACCCACTCTTTGAGCCACCACTTGCTGTCTCCCATAGTGCACATTAGCAGAAAGCTAGAATCTGGAGCAGAGCTGCAACTCAAACCCAGGCACACAGGAATGGGATGTAAGCATCCCAGGTGGAATCTTAACCATTGTGTCGAGTGCCCAGTGTGTAACTGCTGTCCAACTTCATTGCCCCCCCCCACCTTTTTTTTTTAAGTCTATATTTTAAAATGCTTTACCATATTAGCACCTTTCTGTGTTATACCTGAGCATGATGCTTTTACATACACTATAATTCAAGGTTTTCAATAACTCTGACATAGGTGTTTTATTACCTTTTTTCATTAGGGAAAGTAAGCTTGGACAAGTGCTATGACATTATGGTGAAAGAACTTGAGGCAAAAAAAGAGAGTTCCTAAGAAAGTCCCACCCATTTTTCCCTTAGTGAGGTCCATCATAGGACCTATGGGACTGTGTATTTCAGACCCTAGACATCTGTAATCAAAGCAAATAAATACCCCAATGCCATCCAAAACTCAGAACACACACTGCAACCCCAACCCTGGTTTAGTTTCAGGGCCTGCCACATACTGGTTATATGATGATGCACAAGACAATTCATAGTTTTAATCATAACTAGCATTTACTGATTTCCCAGGACCTAGGAAATGCATATATGTATGTATGTATATATTTCCTGTTCCTCGCAAAAACATAATTCATTTTACAGACCAGGAAACTGAAGATCAAAAGAAGCCAATTGCCAAAAGTCACACATCCAGTAAGCAGAAAATGCAGGAGGAGGAAATGCTGTTCCGTGTATTAGGGTTTGTAACTTTAACTGTTCCCCCATCAAATATCTACAAAGAATATTTTTGAAAAGTTTCAAGATCATCAATGCACCCAATAAACAATCAAAAATACCTGTTACAATTCTAAAAGTTTGTAAAGCATGGGCAGATAGTAATCAGGCAGCTTGTTTTTGCAAACACAAAAATAAAGTCTCTATTATTCATTTGCAATGTGTGGCAATTTTTCCAAATAATGGGAAAAAAAAAACAAAACAGGGCTTTCAACAGAGAGAATTTTCCTTACACTGTTCTGCTGGTGGGACTAGGAGGGCGTCACTGTAATCTTTCAAGGGAAAGGGAAAGTAAAAGTGCTTTAAAAGTGTAAATTGGTGACAAATGTTAGATACTAAATGTTACAATGAACCACAGTTACAACCTAATATTAAAAGGTTACATGTCCTCATTTTCATTATAAGTCTGCAATTTGAAAAAAAAAGAGAGATCATAGATAAAATAGGAAAAAGATCAATGGAGAAAAAAATAAAATAGCTGACTTTCCTGAATCAGAATAGAAGGAGGGTGGGGGGAAGAAAAGAGAAAGAAGGAGAAAGGGAGGGGAAGAGAAAGAAGGAGGAGGGAGGGCATGCACTGTGAAAAATAAGCCCAAATGGCTGGGGTCAGCCAGTTTCTTCAAGAAAAAGAAACTGGCCATGACCCCCTTCCCATTGAGGCTGGGTACAGTTTTTGCGACTGTTTAGAGAAATCTAGCGCTCTCCCCACCATTAATCTTTTCTAAGAAAGACTTTGTTCTGCACCTGTATAAACAATCCAGATTTTTAAAACCTATATGCCTGCCCCTAATGTGTGAGACTATGTATTTATTCTGATAGCTTGGAGTCATCAATAGGCAATACCAGAGAGCTACCCTGAGAACTGCCCCCCACAACCACCCCCTGTCTCCTTCCTGGCTTTGGCTGGCCAGGCACACCTACAGTCAAGTTCAAGTTCAAGCTCTCCAAGAAAGATTTCCATGCTCAGTTAACACTCCCTGTGTTTCCCCAGGCCAGAGAGAACTGAGAATAAATGATCTTGTTACTCAGTTTGTCCCAGAATTGAGTCCAATCTCCAACCAATGACAAAATGGGAAGAAAACTTTTGCCAGTGGGAGATGAGTGGGAGGGGCTGTGTGAAACACCCCGCAGGAGAGAGGCATGGCCTGGGAGACCAAGGTGGAATGGTGCCTGAGTGATGAAGTCAGCCCCAGCCAGCCACCTGTTGCAGCACTTCAGGCGCAAAGCTGGCAGCATTTGTTCTGCTGCAAGAACGGCAGAGCGAGGTGAGCCAAGCAGCTGTAGCCCACTGCCCTGGGCTGATTGCACATCCATTCCTTTGCACACTGCTCAGCTCGGGACCCTATGGACGTTCAGAGGAAGCACGATTTAACAACTGTGCAGTATGGTGAAGACTGTTATCTCACTGTAGAACACTGTAGATCCTATCCCAACCTCAGGGACAGTTACTCCATGACCCATTCATGCTCACTGAGACCAGTGCATGGTTCACAGCAGGCACCGGGTGGCTCCTTCTTGGTGCCCATTTCCAAAACGGAGTACTCAGCCCCTAACCATGTGCTACACTGCCCCTTCAATCTCCTGTGGGTTTGCTTCGGGGATAGGGGCAGGGTGTTTCATTTTTGGTTGGAATAGGATATGAGAATTCTGAGTTCTGCTTTGTCATGTTTTTCTCTACGTTGACCACTGTCCTGATTTAACATTCTGCATCCAGAATCTTGCCGTTGGAAACACAATCTAAAACAGTAATGGATTCTTCACTCGTAATTCAATGCATTTGGGCAGGACCCTCCATCATATGCATTATGGTCTTTAAAAGTGCATCACACAGGGAATCCTCAAGACAGCGGAAAATACCAGGTACCACATTCCATAGTTTGGAACTGGGACATCAATGGGTCAGGGATTCTAGACAAGTGTTTTTGAGGCTTTTTTCTACTCACCAACCTGGTGATCTGGGGTCCTTTACTTCACCTCTATTTACCCAGCTCAGTTTCAAGATCTGCAAAGTGAAGATAATAGCATTTAAGTTACAGATGTTGTTGGAAGAGGAAAGGAACCAATGTAGGCAAATCGTGAAAGGATATTGAAGAAGGATGAAGGAAAAACGAGAGGTAAAGTGCATGGCTTGGAGTTGTTGGCTCCTGCTGCATTCCCTCTGGCAAGCCTTAGCTATGCAGCTCCTGGTGAATGAATTTGAAAAACCTTTCTGCTGAAAAGACTGAACAGTCAGTCAGTGGTTAGGACCCGTGTGTCTCTAAGTGTCTGCTATCTTCGCCACCCCTGGAGGTACTGTAGGCAGGAACAAACCCCCACCCCCATCCCGCCCCGCTCCACTCCTCCAAAGCACACTTATTTGGGACACCCCCAGGGGCCATCCGGCCTCAGTGTCCAGATCTCAGCTCTGCAGAGATATCCCCTTCCCCCGCCCCCATCAACCACTCCTCTGCACGCAGAAAAGCGGTCCCCACCCCTTCCACGCCCCTGCCCCACCTCTTGCCCCCCTCTGCAACCCCCTTTTCTTTGCCCGGGGTGGTTCGTTCCGAGGAGTGCAGATAAATAGTCCTGTCAAAAGGCGCAGCTCCTGGTGGTGCTCCTAGAGCCCCGGACCCGGAGCCAACTTCTGGCCCTTCCTCCTTGGGTCAGCGGCAGGGCGCGATTGCTCCCGCATCCCACCTTGCTCTCCGCGCCCACGCACCTCAGGGCCCAGGTCTCCAGTCCTCCTCCAAGCTCGCTCTGGTCCCCGCCTCCGCCGGGGAGCGGAAGGCGGAGACCAGGAGACTGGCCCTGAGGGAGGAAGGCGGGCGCGCGTGGGCGCGGGGCACCACACGATGTCCACGGGCTCGGTGAGCGACCCCGAGGAGATGGAGCTGCGGGGGCTGAAGCGGGGGTACCCGGTTCCCGCCTCCAAGAGGCCGCCCCTCCGCGGCGCCGAGCGCAGCTACGCCTCGCCCAGTGACAACTCGTCTGCGGAAGAAGAGGACCCCGATGGTGAGGAGGAGCGCGGCACCGGAGGCTGCAAAAGGAAGCGGCCTCGTGCGGCTGCGGGAAGCGGCGCAGGTGGAGGTGCCGGGGGCGGCGGCGGCAAGAAGCCCCTCCCGCCCAAAGGCTCGGCAGCCGAGTGCAAGCAGTCGCAGCGGAACGCGGCCAACGCCCGCGAGCGCGCCCGGATGCGCGTGCTGAGCAAAGCCTTCTCCAGGCTCAAGACCAGCCTGCCCTGGGTGCCCCCGGACACCAAGCTCTCCAAGCTGGACACGCTGCGGCTGGCTTCCAGTTACATCGCGCACCTGCGGCAGCTGCTGCAAGAGGACCGCTACGAGAATGGCTACGTGCACCCGGTGAACCTGGTAGGGGCGCCGCGTGCGAGCCGGGGCCAGCCCACCAGATGCCCCACGCACTCCCTGGCGCCGGGCAGGCTCCGTGGGTTGGGAGGAACCCGAAAAGGCGATGGGGGGGCAGAGGTTGGTTTGGAACGGGAGGTGAGGAGGCCCAGTTAGTGTCCCCTAAATCAAGAAAGGGCCCAGCCATTTCCTGGAGGAGAATTGTCCATTTTTCTGGGTTTGCATCATTCTGATGTTTGCACCTGGAGCTTCGCCCAGGGACAGCCACTGGCTGATATCCTACTTCCGGGGTAAATCTTGGTTCCAACTCTGTCCACTATCCCGTTGCAGACTGCATGGCAAGGCTCCCTCAGCTTTTCCAGCCTTGACTCTGGCCGGTTTGCATCAGCAAGCCCTGTGCTTTCGGCAAAGGGGGAGGGAAGGCCGAGCTTTGAGTGTTTAAACTGCTGTAGGATAGCAGGATTTCCCCAGACGGGATTTGTTTGGAAAGTCCCTCTCTAGCCTGCCAACTCTTCTGGCTTGGGAAAGATCACATCCACGCTTATGGAAGCCCGGATTCTTACTTGGAAATTGTGTGCGCGCCTGCGTGTGTGTTGGGAGAAGCAAATTAAACGAAATCCCCAACGCATACAAGTTTCACCGAATCATCGTGCGGGCAAAGTCCAGGAGGATGCATGAACCGATTGGCATAATCAACATGCAGTACAATTAAAACCCTTGTTTAGAGATAAGGCACGCAAGTTCTCAGAAGGCTGATAAAATCCGAGTTACTCAAAGCCAGGGATATCTGGGGTTCACTTAGGAGAGCGGTTTCGGTTTGAGACAGGGTTTCTCCTCTCCTATCTGACAGCTCTTTCTGTTTGCACACACAGACATGGCCATTCGTGGTCTCTGGACGACCGGACCCTGACACCAAAGAAGTTTCCGCAGCCAACAGACTCTGTGGAACCACCGCTTAGAACCGTGCTCGAACTCACTTACTGGGATTATTTGTTAAACATGTTGCTTGCGGAGGCCATGGAGGGAAGGCCGAGAGGGAGAGCACCCCACAGGGCAGACACAGGATGCCTTCGGATTCTCCTTGGCCCTCCTGGGTTGCCCGGAACTGCGAACACGAAGCAGGGCGGGCTTGGCCGTCCTCGCAGAGCGCAGGAGCTGCGCCACGACGCTTTGCCTCTGCAGAAAGAGCTCTTTTCCTGTGGACAGCGCGGACCCACGTTCAGCCTGGGGCTTTCGCTCTGTAGACTAAGCCCCGCAGCCCTGGGAACGCAGCGCCACGCCAACGAGGGTTAGGCTCCCGGCCGAGCCAGAGGGACAGTACCCGTAGCGGCCGGACTGTGCACAGCCCATTTCTCCCGCGGACGGTGTGGTTAGACCGCGCTTTAAAGACAGGGGGCCTGAGGTCCACGTCGAGGTGTGCGTTACTTTGAAGAAAGAGGCTCTTGGCGCACAGACGCCGGCTTTGTAGCCCACCGGGCAGCGCCCTCCTAGCTGGCGGGAGGATGTCTGCCTCACGCGGGACGCGGCTAAAACTGACTTCGGATACCGTCTGAGGCCGGTTCTGCCCGCGTGTCCCGGGCCAGTCAGCCTCCGCGCCGGGGCCCGGCTCCCTACTACCCAGCCCAGGCCCAGATCTCCGGCCCAAGCTCCCGTCTCTTTCGAATCAGGCTGCGCACCCCCTTGCCGCCCTCTCCGGAGCCTCCCCACGCCGCACAGCACCAACTTGGCTCCTTTGGCCCTGTCTCTCTCTTTCCCTCCTCCGGGTTCCGGCGCCCGCCTGCAGGCTCCCCACCTCCTCCTCCTCCAGACTTCCCAACAGGCCTCTCCCAGCCCTGTCTCCCGGCGCCCAAGTTCTTCCCCGTGCGGCGGGTGGGTCGCCGGCGCCATCGGATACCTGATGACCCTGCTTAGGAGGAGCGCGACACTCTCGAGAGGCCCCGCTCCCATGATAATTAACATATGTAAATAAATTTATTTTTTTATGAATAATAAAACGAGTGTGTAAACTGTGTGGCACGGGGTGGATGCGGCACCTTTTAACAGAAAAGGGTTTGGCTCTGGGATTTCCCTTTAAAGTGCTGAGCTCCAACTCTGGACAAGGCTGTGGCTCTTTGCGGGTGGAATGGCGGCGCTCACATTTGGATCGGATCACTGCATTTCTAGACGTCCCCGTCCTCCTTGTTTATCTCCGAGAGTCTGATTCTTCGGGAGGAAGAGGTTCCGGGAAGGCAAGAGCTGGGGGCCCCATGTAGGGCCCCCAAAGTCTTCTGAGGCCAAGGCTGCACTTAAAGTTGATACCAGTGCACAGCTGTCCTAGGTGCACTGTGTCTTCTCCATGCTGAAGCACACGCCAATGCTTAGAGTTACAAGTAGTTCAAAAACCCCTTAATGCACCCCCCCAGAGTCCACAGGTCTCAGATTTGATAGAATAAAACCATAATATAAAAAGTCCGCGTGTATTTCAGCAGAGCTGCTACTTTTTCTTTCTTAAACACTTTAATATGGTGCCTTTAATACCGGTCATCTCATTTTCAGCGTCCCCCCCCCCATTTTCACTGCAAGTAATGTTAACAATCAAAACCTGCGATATAATTTTTTAAGTGCAAATACTTTCAAAAGCAATGTTTTCTTAAAAGAACATTTACAAAAATGCAAAGGATAAAACGACCTCAACAACTGCTCAGTTTGGGGTTCTGTCTATTATTTTATCAAATTGGCAGTTTTCTTGACCTGAGAGAAAAAGTACCAGTATAGATGGATTTTAGTTAGGAAGTGAGGAGGTGGGAAGCATAACTTCCTGTTTTGCATGAAAGCAAACCAAAACTCTGGAGAGGTGCTTTCTGACACCGGGGACTTCATGGATTTTGTTTACAACTAGGGAGGGATTCAGTCCTCAGGATCTGGTCTTCAGATGCCAGGTGCCAGGCTACAGAGGTGGGGGCTTCAACAGGTCTGTTTCTGTGGCATCAGAGGCTCCTTGGCAGAGGGAACTGGCAGGAACTAATGTCAAGAAATGCAAGCATGGTCGAAGACACTTCAGTCATGAGATGGAGGTGGCAGCTTCATAAGAGTGGGGTGTCTTATTGGAGGTCAGATGGATTGTAGTCAAGGCCATTTCCAAAGCTTCCCACAAATGAAGTCCTTTTCACAGTGAGGGTGGGGTGTAGCATGTTGATTAAGGAAAACCTTAATGTCTATAGAACTCACTGCAGACCCAAGCTGTGTCACCGGACTAGTAAACATGTGCAAGGTACCTTTCCCCTCTGAGCCTCAGTTTCCTCATCAGTGATGGGGGCAGTAACAGTGCATGCCTGAGAAGTGGGTCTCAGGAATAAACATAGTAACATATCTAAGTAAACCAGCCTTTACTGACTGCTGGCCACTAAACGAAACCAGAGGAAAACATTCTGGCAAAGGAGACACTTCCACTGGGTGGGATGTTGTTGGGGTCCATCCTCAAACATGAGCTCTGGTTTTGTGTGTGATGCTCCAACTACACGTGTAAAAGAGAAACATCCCAGAGGGTTTGCTAGCAGAAGAAAACAGAAAGAATAGGTTTGTTTGTCGCGAATACAAATAAGATCAAGCTTCTGAATAAACAAGGAAATATTTGGGCAAACTTTCATAAGTAAAAGAAATATTTAAAATATTTGCTTCTCTAATTACATTCTCTAAGGGCACTTCAGGAGGAGACCCACGGATTTTTCTGCCTCTCCCTATTCCGTGACTCACATGTGTATAGAGTGTTGCATGAGTCCAGTACCCTATAAACTCATTTTTATGGCCACTATATAATCCTATAATTTATGCAAAAAAGAAACATTCTCAAGGATTTTTGGTCCATGATTTCTGTAAAAAGTCCAACATCTAGATTTATGTTCATTTTTAAAAAGGAAGAAAAAACGAAAGAGGTCAATTTTTTTGGTTAATTCAGAATGAATCAGTATAAACTGCTCACACTTCTGTGCAAAAACTGCTGTCTAGAGAGGATGTAAGCACCCTACACCATTCTTGTCTTTGTCTCCCTCAACTGCAATGCACTCAAAGTGGTAGAAAGCCTTCATCATTTTCCTTTGGGATTTGAGTTAGAGAACTGGGAGCTGGGGTGGGGTTGGAGCTCTTAAGAGGAAAGGAGCAGTGTATCCGTATAGTCACTTCAATTTGGTTGTAGTTCTGTGAGAGCAAAGAGCAGAAAGCAAAATTCAAGAGTGCAAAAAGCGCTGAATAACAAACAAAATGAGTAAATTAAAAAATACTTTTCAGGGGGCTTTTTGAGGACCCAAAGCACTTTTATTACTGATAGTGACTCAACCAAAGAGAACAGAAATCCCCTTCCACAGACTCTTCCTAAGATGAATGGTTTAAAAGACATGCTTTCAGCACTGTAATCTTGAAACATTCAAGCGTTTGTCTTCATGGTGGCTGTTGAATTGATTTTGCACATATTCCTTTGCACGGGGCTTCAAGCTGCAATTTCACTTTCATCTGGTGGCTCCTTAAAGATACCAAAAGTGACCTTTGCAATTTACAAAGGGATTTTTAAAGCCATTTAAAAAAATTCTGATAATAAATGCTTCAAAGTTAACAACAAGATAAATTAGGACATAGGGCAGAAGATTGGCCTGGTGGTTAAGATGGTGGTTGAGATAGCCATAATTCACATTTGAGTGCTAGGATTTGAGTTCTGGCTTCACTCCGGACTCCAGCTTCCTACTAATACAGATTCTGGAAGGTAGCAGTGATGAGTCAAGTACTTGAGTCCTTGCCACCCATGTGGGAGACCTAGATTGAATTCCTGGTTCCTGGCTTTGGTCTGACCCAGCCCAAAATGGTACAGGGATTTGGGGAGTGCACTAGAAGATGTGAGATCACTGTCTCTCTTCCTTCCTTTTTTTAAAGATTAATTTATCCAGAATATTTGAAAGTAAGAGTTACACAGAGAGAGGAGAGGCAGAGAGAGAGATAGAGGTCTTCCATTCACTGGTTCACTTCCCAAATAGCCCCAACAGCCAGAGCTGAGCAGATCCAAAGCCAGGAGCCAGGAGCTACTTCCGGATCTCCCACGTGGTTGCAGGGGCCATCTTCTACTGCTTTCCCAGGCTATAGCAGAGATCTAGATCGGAAGTGGAGCAGCGCCCACATGGGATGCTGGCATTGCAGGTGGTGGCTTTACCTGCTATGCCACAGTGCCAGCCCCTCTCTCTTCCTTTCAACTAAATAAAATAGACACATTTTTAAAAAAGATATCTTCCACTCATAAAAAGTAAAATTAAGTTGACCATACCCTATTATCATATATAATTAACATATTTTTAATTGATAATATATTGATTAATATATAATAAATAACTAGATAATTTGGTGACTACTTCTGAAAGTATTAAAAATTAATAGTAATTTTAGCCACATCTGGAAGGGCAAAATCAAGTGAATTCACAATTGACTTCTCACTAATTGGTGGCACAGGAATAGCTGGATTGCCTTAGCTGTGTAACTGAGCACCTGGCCTGCATCACCTTTCAGTGGAAAAGGCTGCATACTCACCTGCAGGCAGCCAGGGGACTTGCATGTTGTGCTCACCACTCACCACCCATCTTACTTTTCTATTCTGTTCACCTTCCGTGTTATTTTTCTTCTTTCTCCCACAATAGTGAACATTGATCCAGACAAATCCTATGAAGGTATAGGAAGTAGCCAATAATCCATCTATTAATCTAGTAAAAGTGCTTAACACAAAGGCACAATTATCTTGAAGGATCTCAGTCTTGTCCTTTGCTGCTTCTGCTACCACTAAGGTAGTTCTGGATCATCTTGGGGATCCTTTATCAATTATAGTGAAGAGGAGCATGGAGCAATATAAGTGAAAAATCTGAAATAAAGAAATAGAAGGGCGGCCAGCGCCATGGCTCACTAGGCTAATCCTCCGCCTTGCGGCGCCAGCACACTGGGTTCTAGTCTCAGTCGGGGCTCCGGATTCTGTCCCGGTTGCTCCTCTTCCAGGCCAGCTCTCTGCTGTGGCACGGAAAAACAGTGAAGGATGATTCAAGTGCTTGGGCCCCTGCACCCACATGGGAGACCAGAAGGAAGCACCTGGCTCCTGGCTTCAGATAGGTGCAGCATGCCACCGTAGTGGCCATTTGGGGGGTGAACCAATGGAAAGGAAGATCTTTCTCTCTGTCTCTCTCCTCACTGTTCACTCTGTTTAAAAAAAAAAAAAAAGAAAGAAAGAAAGAAAAGAAAAAAAAAAAAGAACCACTGTCCTAGATAATTCCTAAGACTGTTCATTGATTGGAGTTCTTTTTTTTTTTTTTTCTTGACTATGTGGCAATCTCAGTAGGGCAAGAGCATGTAGATGTCTTGGTTGAATGCAACAGCAGGCATTTGATCAGAAAGGTTCACGAAAGGGGTTAGGAAAATGATGAGAAAGGCTTGTTCCATGGGCCATCTGTTGTCAGGCCATTCTAATCAGCAGGGCCAGTGCTTCCCACAGTGTCCACAGTCAGAAGTGTGTTTGTATCACACCCTGCTCTTTCTGCCCTGATCCCATCTCCCCCATCTCCTTTTTAGGCCCTTGAATTTTACCTGATGTTAGCCTCAGGACTGGATCTTTCAGGTAGGGAAAGTAGTACCCAAACTCGGGCTGTAAAATCCCTTTTCTTTTGCCATATATTAATATTCTCCAAGACCTATGTCAGAGTCATAGCATTCTATTGTCCTAATAAATCAATTTATTTAAGAAAATGTAGAAATCACCTCCACTCATCCTCAGTAGAGAGGTTTATATCAAATTTTTGCAAGTGGATGATGAACTTATTTACTCATGATGAGTAATTTACTTACAGTGGGATTTTTATGAAGATTAAATGCAATAGTGAATGTGAAATGCTTAACATGGTGCCAGGCACAGAGTAGGTGCTCAGGAAATGTTGTTCTATTGACATCACCACCATCACATGGGGATGACCTGCATGTCCTCTTGGCATGAGCAAAAGCTTATCATGTCTCCACCCATTCTGCCCTTCTATTTTCCTTAAATCTGCAAAACCTAAACCTTTAAACTGGGGTTCTATTTCAGCTCTCTTCTGAAGAGGTTGTTGTTTTTCAGAATTCTCAAAAATCTCAAGATACTGATTTGCATAACAAGCAGCGCATCTCCCTGGTGCTGGGGTTATAACAACAAATAAAATATGTGTTCACAGAAGAGTTGAATGGGAAAAAATGTGTGCATATAAATTATATGGGCACCAGAACATACCAGGGTTCAAAAAACCACCTATAATAGGCACCAAATCCGGTGCACCTG